ACAAAACATACGAGTCTGTTTTTGTTTTTTTTTACATCCTAAGTCCTGTTAACATCAATTAATTTAGGAGTCAACACACACAGTACTAGCTACCTTTAAAGCAAGGAAAGATACTATTAGAAGATGGTTACAGGGCCTGGATTTGGGACAGGGACCACATTTATATATAAATATAGCCAGAGAGATACTAAATACCAACCAGATGTTTCATTTTCAACCCAAGTGTCTAAAAAAGGATATTCACCAGAAATAATATTCAGCACAAAACCACAAAAGCTCCATGTATCTCTGGAGCCCCCAGAGCTGATCGGTACTTAAATAGTATCAGCAACGTGTTATCTTTAAGATTTTCGGGTTGGTTGATTTTGTGCTTCCCTTGCACCCACAAACTCACCTCGCTATAAGCAATACATTTACTTTAAAAAATTCTTCCCGTGGAAATCTTATTTTAATTAAAAAAATATTATATTTCTCTGAAATTGTATACTTCTTGGGAGCTTCTTTAAAATAGTTTGAATGGATTTTTGACACCTGGTTTACTGTTGTCCTGAAATTGCTTTGTACCACAGGAGTATAAATGCCTATGTTTTCCCTATGGAAGGAAAAATATATTCCAAAAGTAGAGGAAATCAACATTGGGAAAATAGCAGGGAAACATATTCACACACATAAAATATTAAGAACACACATTGGCAGAGAAACTCGAAGACGCCTCCATCCCACAGCTCTGGAGGGGCTTGCAAGAGTTATTTTCATCTTACGACGTTTCCTCTCAGCTTGTTGTCATAGGTTTGGCAAAGTGGTCTTTTCCACGTGCAAATTCTGCTCCTACAAAGTACCATTTCCAATGGCTCCATTTCAAGTGCATGTTTTGAGCAGCCTTTCATTTAACAAGCATTTTACCAAGTGTTTATGTTATTTTAAGGTTTTAGTATATAAAGAGAAATAAGGAACATCCCCTTCCTCATGTCCTGTCAGGGAGACGGAAGTATATTGAAAGAACAACAGAAAACGTGAGAAATGTTGGGCACAGAGAACGACGCTCTTCAGGTGGCCTGCTAGGAAGTGGTGATCTGGAAAGCTTCCTGGAGGAAGCACTATATGAATTGGGTCTTCAAGAATAAAAAGAATATATTTAAGAAATGATTAAAATGGCATAGATATGTATATACATATGTACAATGAAAGTATTTTTTTAAAGCACACTGGGGCTTATCCTTTTAGAATATTGCACTGTGTTTTGTAGAAACCTAAGATAGTCACTAGAAGCCATAAGAGAAAGCGCCAAGGTGCCCTGGCCAACATTACTAGGCAACATTGACCTTGCAACCATATTAGCTGCCATCGGACTGAATGTCTAGACTGGCAGAAGAACAACCCACCAACCCACAAAACCTTGAGAAATAATACATGGTTGTTGTTTTAAGCCACTAAATAGAATGAGGTGGAGGAGGGGGAGGGAGGGGAGGGGGGGAGGAAGAAGGAGGGGAAGGAATTTACTGAGTGGAGAGGGAAAGGGCAATTAAGGTTTGAGCAGGAATTGAGGAAACCTGGACGAGGAAAATGAGATGTAGAGGCAAATCACTTGCCGAAGGCCACACAGCTGGTAGGTGTTTTGAACCTCTATCCATTGCCCCAGTTCTCGTCCTGGGAACCGCAAGAAAAGGAACCTCCATCCCTTACCACGGTCTCCTTTCCAAACTGGAGCTGAAGTCTATGAAACCTGATTGGCATAGGTATGCTGAGGTTTTAGCCCCTCTGCCCTCTCGTCTATTGGAGTCCCCCTTCAGGCCCTGGCCCAGCACGATCAGTGTGCCGTAAAAATATAATTTTTCTCTGTGTGTCAGCTGCTATGATCCTACCCGCATGCACCCCTGGGTTGGGAGATAGGTCATTGTATGCTTTGCTTTTTGTTGTTGTTGTTGTTGTTAATCCTTACCTGAGTATACTTTGCCCACTAATTGTTTTTTGTTGTGTTTTTTTTTAAGAGAGTGGAAAGGAAGGAGGGAGGGCGAGGGCGAGGGTGAGGGCGAAACATTGTTGGGAGAGAACACATCAATTGATTGCCTTCAGCACATGCCCCTACTGGGGCCAGAGATACAACCCACAACCTAGGTATGTGCCTTTGACCGGGAATCAAACCCGAGACGCCTTGCTGCTCGGGCCAACACTAACCACTGAGAAACATGGGCCAGGGCTGCTTTGCTTTTTAATGTCATTGCAACTGTCTGATACAACTCCTACGTTTTGGAGGCTAAGCCATACAGTCAGCCCACTATCTCTCCTCCTCCTCTACCTCCCTCCCTCAGTTTCAGAATGGCTTGGGAAGCACCCATTTCCTTTTCACCTCATGTCCATCTTCCTAGGAGCTCTCGAGGTCCATGTGGCATCTCAGTTCCTTGACCATCTCATCTCCAATTCCATTTCAGCCAGAACCCCACTCTCACAGGACTCTTCATCTGCGGTTATTCACTGAGACATCCATCTCTGAGGATAACCTCCATCTCTCTGCTGTGCTCCATCATTGACTCCCATTACACCTGTTCCAGGACCTTCCGGTCATTCTGTAGCCCTTTGCTTAAGGCAGTGGTTCTCAACCTGTGGGTCGTGACCCCGTTTGGGGGTTGAACGACCCTTTCACAGGGGTCGCCTAAGACCATCGGAAAACACATTTATAATTACATATTGTTTTTGTGATTAATCACTATGCTTTAATCTGTAACAATGAAATTGGGGGTCACCACAACATGAGGAACTATATTAAAGGGTTGCAGCATTAGGAAGGTTGAGAACCACTGTCTTAAGGCATTCTTAAAAGCTGAGATCTTAAACTCCATCACACCCGTCCGGCAAAACTCCTTCCTTGAAGTAAAGCAATTGCTCACCCTTTGTGTGCCTTTATCTTGACTATTTAAACTAACTATAGAAAAGTCACACAAAGCATTATATTAGCATCACCATAAATTCAGTCTCTATTCTCAATGGGGCCCTCAACCATGTCTTTGAAATTTTACATTTCCCTGAACTCCAACTTACCACAACAACTATTTAAAATTCATAGTCAGATTTGACTATAAGCTTCATGAAGCTGGAGTCCTTACCTCGTTTTTCACCACTGAATCTCCAGTGTCTAGGAAAGGCTTACTCTACAGGCACTCAATAAGTACTTGCTTACTGACTAAGGTGCAGTAATAGTGGTAAGAATTTTATATAAAGATTAGTAAATGTTAGTAGCTTTATACCAAGCTCTGTTCTATGTGAGTTATATGTATTAACTCATTTAATCCTCACAGCAACCCAATGGGATTAGTTAGGACTTTTGTTATTCCCATTTTACAGATAAGGAATTTTAGAGAGGCAGCTGGGAAAGATGAAATCGCTTGTAAGTGGTAGAGGGGATATGTTTAGTGTGTCCAGTTTCTTTTTGTTGTTGTTGTTGTTGTTAATCCTTACCTGAGTATACTTTGCCCACTAATTGTTTTTTGTTGTGTTTTTTTTTAAGAGAGTGGAAAGGAAGGAGGGAGGGCGAGGGCGAGGGTGAGGGCGAAACATTGTTGGGAGAGAACACATCAATTGATTGCCTTCAGCACATGCCCCTACTGGGGCCAGAGATACAACCCACAACCTAGGTATGTGCCTTTGACCGGGAATCAAACCCGAGACGCTTTGCTGCTCGGGCCAACACTAACCACTGAGAAACTAACCACTGAGGCTTTATGTGAATGAGGGGCAATCAGGCAGCTGTGCTTCCGACTGGAGCTCAAGACAGAAGTGAAAATTAAGATTAACATTTAGGAGGGGTGAAATAATCTGGCAACTTCAGAAAACAGACTATCAAACCGTGTTTACACCCTTTGATTGGCAGAGTGCCTCTAACAGGCCCCCAATGGAACTGTGGTGATGTGTGTGCAGGAATGCCCTTGGGTGTTTAAGGTGCATCTCCCCTCGCTCCCATGAGCTAAGAGTTTACTCATATTTGAAAATAAGGGTAGATCCATGGTGTATTTGTTGGTGACTTTAATATTGGGTAAGGATCCCCCGGGGCTGAAATTCAGTCTTGACTTTAATTTTTCTTGTGCTAAGATGCATTTAAAATTTTGTATTTATTGATTGAGTTGAGAGAGAGAGGAAAGGAGAGAGGGAAAAATCGGTTTGTTGTTCCACTTGCTTATGCATTCATTCGTTGCTTTTTGTATGTGCCCGAAGGGGGATGAAGCCCCAACCTTTGTGTATGAGGAGGATGCTCTAACCAACTGAGCTACCTGGCCAGGGCCCTAAGGTGCATTTCTGAAAGAGACTTTCTGGACTATCTCTCAGGTAGGAGAGAGACATCATTGCATTTGAGTTCTTTCCCCTTCAGGTGGCTTCTCCCACTGATTCCCGCTGAGAGAGCGACCCAATGAGCCCCTGCTCTCAGTCAGTCCTCATATCTTACGGACACCTCCCTTCAGTTCTTGAGGAGGATAATTATCACCTCCAGTCTACAGATAACAAGAGTAACAGCTAACATTTACTAAGTGTTTATTGTGTTCGGCACTGTGTTGAGTGTTTTTAAAGCATCATCCCGTTTGAGTCTCACCGCAATACTCTAAAATTGGAACTACTGTATGGGTGGGAAAACCAAGGGTCAGAGAGGGGGGGTATCTTGTTTTAGGACCCACAGCCAGTTAGGTCTTTCTGACCCAGAGGCTAAGCTGCCTCATCACTCACTTTTTATGACCTTAGGGCTTTCTCCCATAGAAACGGGCGGAGAGGAGAAAAAGATTCGAAGGAGACCGCTAACGTTGATGTCCACCTACCCAAGTCCAGGGCTAGACTCTCAGTTGATCTCTGACCCTGACCTCAACTGGTGCCAGGAAAGTGGCGCGCATGCGCACGGCTTTCCGTTCGGCCCCGCCCCCCCGGGAGGGCTCCACTCTTCGCTCCCGGCTCTGGGGCTTGCGCACTACGTCCCCAGCCAGCAGCTCCTTCCCAGTCAGGGACTTCCGGTGCGTGAGGTGTGGTTCCGGGTCGTGGCGAGACTCGGGGCAACTGGGCTGCTGCTCTGCCGGCGGGCGGCGGCGAGCGGCGGGGGCATGAGGGCGAGCCCGGAAAGCGGCAGCTGAGCCGGCCGGGAGGAGCGCCAGTCCCCGACGATTCCGAGAGTCCGGGGCTGGGGCCGAGAGGCACCGAGGAGCCGGGCCCTCCCCCCAGGAACGTGTCCCGGGCCGCCCCGGCCGGTAGCGCGGCAGCACTTTCAGGTAAAGGTTGCCCCAGCCGCTACCTTACTCGCTCGCTCTCCTGCCAGCCATCTGGAGAGCCTAGCGGCTCCTCACTCCTCCGCGCCCGGCGCTGCCCGGCAGCAGCTTGCCTGGCCCTTGCTCAGGTCTCTCTCCCGTGAGCGTCCGTTTCCTGGCCCTTTTCAGAACCGGAGGCTGCTGTGAGTCTGACAGCCAGCTAGCTGGGTGTGTGACTTGGGGGAGGAGAAGCTAGTGGGTCTGGTAGTGCTGGGGAGGAGTGAGAGGAGGGAGGAGGATGCTATTGGCTCTGGCACTTTCCGGCCCCACATTTAGGTGTCCTAATCGTCACAATATGAACATCAAGTTTTTAAAGCATTGCCTGCGTGGCCTCCGGTTCCTAGCGCCTCCTCCCCCTATTGCCACAAAGCGGTAAATGGCCTTGCAGAACTTTTTCTTTTTCTTGGTGGAGTGCTGCTGTAACTTTGATTCAGCTTTTTCGTTAGGGGAGTGACAAAGAATATTCTAAGTCTGTTTAAAGTAGAAAAAAAAATGATTATAGTTTAAACAAGAATATTACTTTAACGTGAGCCCAAAAAGTCGACTCAGAAGTTGGTTAGAATTTCATCCTGAATGATCGCGAGTCGTTTTTGAAGCCTATGACAGTATCTGGCACCGTGCAAAGCATCATGTTGTAAATCAAAACCAGCAAAGTTCAAAACTCCCCCAGGCGTGAATGGTCAAATGGAGACAAGTGTTTATTATAAACATTAGCTCAAACAAAACCAACGTGCTCATTCTGTTTTGACGAGCAGAAGGGGTGGATTCCTGATTTAAAAAACCACTAGAGGAGGGAGAGGAGACACCATCTTTTATTCTTCGTATACAGCGAGCCCACATGGGATGCTCAGTAAATGCCGGAAGAGTTCTTGATGAAGCCTTGATCATTGTTTTCAACTTTTTTTGGTTTACACACTTGCAAGCTTGCTGGAGCCAAGAGGCGTGCTGGTGGCCCCTTTTCCATTCAGCTTTGTGCTCATACCTCCCTTCAGCTACAGTGATCCCATACTGAACTTGCATCCCTCTGCACCCCCGACCTGGTGCCTGGCTAAAGTTCCAGCTATGCTTGAAAAGGCCCCCTTCCTAAATTACTCTACTCTGATCCTTTACTCAAGTAGGGCCTCCAGTCATGTTTGTTCTTTTCTTTGTCCTGTGTGTTTTGCCTAGAAGGTTTCTCCTTTTCCGTTGGCGAGCTACTGAGGTGTTACCCAGGGCCCAGCTGAAATTGGCCTCCCGCAACCAATTCAGTACAATCCCAGCTGGAAATTATTTCTTTTCTAAAAGCCTATAAACGAGCGGTTCTCAACCTGTGGGTCGCGACCCCTTTGGGGGGGGGGGTCGAATGGCCCTTTCACAGGGGTCGCCTATGACCATCGGAAAACGCATATATAATTACATATTGTTTTTGTGATTAATCACTATGCTTTCATGATGTTCAATTTGTAACAATGAAAATACATCCTGCATATCAGATATTTACATGACGATTCATAACAGTAGCAACATGACAGTTATGAAGTCGCAACGAAAATAATTTTATGGTTGGGGGGGTCACCACAACACGAGGAACTGTATTAAAGGGTCGCGGCATTAGGAAGGTTGAGAACCACTGCTGTAAACACTCATCGTAACTGTAATTATTTTACTTAGCAAGCATTTACTGAGCATGGATAGATACCAGGTACCATGCCAGACAATGTAGAGGTAAGTAAGACTCGGGCCTTGTAGCAAGGAGCTCAATTTAGTGAGAGAGATAAGGGAATAATTCCAACACAGAGTGATAAGTACACTGTGTGAGAGTTCTTTCTGTGATACAGTGATAACATAGAACGGGGGTTGGGTCATTTGTTTTTGAGGAGTGTGCTGTGGCCAGGTAATGCTTCATTATGTGGGGTTAACTAAGCTTTATTATTTACTGTGTACTGGGTATTACATATAGGTTTCTCTTGTTTAATCATTTTAATCTCAATTTACAGATTAGGAAGACTCGGGATAAATTACACGCCTGGTACAAGACAGAGCCAGGATTCAAACCCAGGTCTGTCTGATGCCTACATCTGTGCTTTTTTCATTATGTGTTTTGCCTTCTTTCTCACACCATAGCTCTTGATATCAAGTACATATTGAAACAAGTATACAAGAGAAAGAAATATGAGTGTCAAAATTAATGGTATAGATGTTCTTTTAAATGTAGGGAAGACCATGATCTTTCAAAGCAAGAAGGTAGAAGGTGGGTCAGCTCTGCTTTGAGTATGAGAAAGGAAGGCATTGTGTAGAGAATAACCGTGACCTCTGTATTCAATTCCTGGTTCATTCTCTGGCTAGATATGTGACCTTTGGCAAGTTTCTTAATTCTAAGCATTATTTTCCTCAAGTATGGGTTGGGATAGGGCAGTGGTCGGCAAACTCATTAGTCAACAGAGCCAAATATCAACAGTACAACGATTGAAATTTCTTTTGAGAGCCACATTTTTTAAACTTAAACTATATAGGTAGGTACATTGCTTTTAACTTAATTAGGGTACTCCTAAGCTGGCCTTTGCTAAAAACGTCCTCAATCTGATTGAGGTACGTTCGCTGAGATCGACCCCTTCCAACTCTCCCATCCACACTCGCCTTGTATACTTGTTTTGTCTATCTCCTTTCGTTCATCCTGTCTATATGTCCAGACCATCTCAACATACCTTTCTCAATCCTCGACACTACATCTTTCACTCCACAACATTCCCTGTATGTGCGCGCCCGCATGTGGTATTTTGTGGAAGAGCCACACTCAAGGGGCCAAAGAGCCGCATATGGCTCGTGAGCCACGGTTTGCCGACCACTGGGATGGGGGGTAATATGCACCTCATGGAGTACTGTGAATATGTAATAAGCTAATGTGGATAAAAGGCCTGACACATGGTAAGGTCTCTGAAATGATAACTATAAGATGCAAAGGTGCAATGACTGGTATGGTTTTAGAGTGGTGAGTAGACCAGCCTTAATAAAGCAAGCCATTGCTGCTTTTTAGTGTGGAGATACTGGAAGATAAAGTTGGAGGGTCACTAGGGGTTGGTGTCAGTGAGGGACTGAGTATTAGGCAAGAGCAGTAAATTCCAGTTTCTTCTTATAACTTTCCTAGTTAATAAATACTTTGAGGATCTGTGATTTCATAACGGAAAATGTTAGACCCTGGGAATGCAAAGAGGAATAAAACCAGGTCCCTACTCTGAGGCTGTTGACATTCTAGTCGGGGAGACATATCTGTGTGCCGGTGAACTGTAGTAAAGTACTTGAGGTACAGAGATAGCAATCCCCGAGGATACGAAGGAGGACAAAAGAGGGAACACTAATAATGATAGCTAATGAGCACTTACTGTGTGCCAACATTGTGTTAAAAGTATTGTCTCATTTATTTCTGTCCTGGAAAGTGTACGTTTTACAGATGAGCAAACTAGAGCACAGAGAGATTAAATAAATTCCATGAGTTTATGCAGCTGTTGGGGCTGTGAGTGGAGGGGATTATCTGTTAGACTTTGGAATCTCCACTCTTCTTTGTGGTGTGGACGGGGACCCTCAGAGAGGCTTCAGAGAAGAGCTAGCCCTTGAGTTGTTTCTGTGAGCCGGTCACCGTGCTGGGCAGTAGGGATGCTGAGGACTGAATGTGGCCCTGCACTCAAGCAGCTCATTGCCGCCTCTGTGATGTTAAATATATTTCTTTTTCGTGGGGAGTTTGCTTTGCCAGTTGACTCATAACTGAGGACTTTAGAAACTGTTGTACTTCAAGGGATCTCTAAAGGGTCAGGCTGAGAATTTGCTGGAAATCTGTTATTCTGATATGTAGGCCTTATTTTTAAGAACACAGCAATAGATGCCAATTATATGACAAGGAATTCTGTCACATGATGTTTTTTTCCCCCATAGTAGGTTCTCTGACCTTGAGTTTCCTGTGGGTATTGAGTTTTTGAGAAGTTTTGACATAAAAGTTAGTTCATTTCAACTTGTGTTAAATTTAAAATAATTGAGCACTTACAGTAAGTTCTGGTCATTGTTAAATGTTTTTCCTATACTTCATTTCCTTCAGTCTTCATGATTCTCTGAGATAGGTGATGAAGCTTAGTGATTAAGTAGGGGACCCAAGAGTCACCTAGTTAGTGAGTGATAATGCCAGAAAAAAAATTGGACTTTCCAAAAGAGTGAACAAATATTTATAAAGTTAGTTTTCTTTTGAGCATCTGCCTCAGGGGTCTCCAACTCAAATGCCCATGATGTAATATAGAAAGTAGGACAGACCTTGATGAACTGGAGGGCATATGTCCAGTCTGAAGATAGCGGTTGGTTGCCAGTTCACTACCCCCCTTACTTCCTCCCCCCACCTCCCTCCAGGGGAGGCAACCAATCCTTGTGTCTCACATCAATGTCTCTCTCCCTCTCTCCCCATTTCTCCTTCTTTCTCTTCCCCTCTCCCCCCCTTCTCTCCCTCCCTCCCTTTGAGTCTCTGAAAAGCAATGGGGAAAATATCTTTAGGTGAAAATTAACAACAACAAAAGAAGAGATGCTGGAAATCTGGGTTTTAATGTATTTTTTTTTAAATTTTAAATTTTTATTTTAGAGGGCAAGAGAGATAGATAGATAGATTTAGAGAGAGAGAGAGAGAGAGAGAGAGAGAGAAACATCTATTTGTTTTCCACTTATTTATGCATTCATTGGTTGATTTTTGTATGTGTTCTGACTGGGGATTGAATCTGCAACCTTGGTGTAGTAGCTTGATGTTCTAACCAGCTGAGCTACCCAGCCAGGGCTGGGGTTTAATGTATGTATTTCATTTTAAAAAATTGACATTTAAAAAATTGCTGTGTGGACTAAAGCACATTTGTGCGCTGTGCACAGTCCTAGGCTGTCTGACTGTGAACTCTGATGTACTTTATCGCTGAAATTTTGGTATCCACTGTTCAAAGCAGGAGGTACATACAACTCAAGTCGAGATTACTGATAGACGTGTACTGGTAAATTGCCAGAGTGAGAGGGTTTTATAATTGACTCGTACTGATGTCTTTGGGGAAGTGGCAGGGCGAATGCTTTTATTATATAATCAGACTAAATTTCAGGAGGGATGGGGCTTGATGAGGAAATGACCTTGGAATACTTTTAGCACTTTAAATGCTATAAAATCTCTTGCCTCTGTTGGTCCTCTGTACAGTGCCATGGAGTGAACATGGGGGGTAAACATAACCTCTTGAGATTAAAAAATTGGCTCCCAGTGAAAGACAGTTTAGTCGAAAGTGCACTTGATTGAGAGGGGCTTGAGGTCTGACTGTAGCTATGCCGCTGACAGCCTTTTGATTTTGGTTGAGCCACTTAGAAATTTTTGTATCTTTTTCCCATCTGGGTGATAATGAGGAGCTCAAATCAAGTCTTGCTGAAATCTTTTCAGGATGCCAAGCTTTCTGATTCTAATTGACACAGCTGATTACTGGTAGACCCAGTAGAGAATGGTTCAAATCTAAAGTGCTGTTTCTCCTCTCTTGGCAGGTAGGGAGCTACTGCTCAGCTCTTCCCCCTCTTCTTTGTTCATTACTTCTGGGAAAGGACCTTGACAGGCCAGGTGCTCCCCAAATGCATACAGTGCTTTGTTGACTATATATACACAAGATTGAAAGGGGGCATAGAGACACCCAGCATGGTGAGAGAAATATGGGCAGGGAGTTCCCAGCCCAAGAGTTTAATTTATTTTTATTTTAATACCCAGCTTCCACCAGGTGAAAATTGGAAAAAATATTGGTCTTCTAGATACTTGTTTTCATTCATACTCTATTGTATAAGGACATAACATGGAATATAAAAATGAAGAAAATAAATCCTGAGCAGTCATTCAGAATTTATTAACTTGTGTTGGCAGCAGTCTAGATATATTGGGAAGATAGATTTAATATAGGAAACACAAAATTTGGACCCAAAGAAGGAAACAGTTTTAAGTAATTGAAAGTGAGAAAAATGGGAGAAACCTTTTACAAAACAAAACTTAAATTCTGGAAACAGCAAGAAGGTATTAGAATAAGTATTGGAATTAAATTATAGTAATCACTTGTGAAATAAATTGAATATTATGTCACATTTACCCATACATACATGCAGTGTTAAATTCATATCCTATACTTGAGTACACTTTTATGAATATGCTTTTATTATTGATGCAGACAAAATGGACTGAATTTTACACATTCAAAACGATGTAACATTTTTTTTAGTTCCCTATAGATTCATTTTAAGGTATATTACTATAAACTAGGGGCCCAGTGCACGAATTCGTGCACCTTGAAAGGAACTGTGGGCTGCGAGGCTGTGGCAGGCACAGGGGCAGGTCTTGACCCATCCTCTGCGCCCCCGCCCGGCCCCTCCCGCCATGGCCCCTGGTCCTCTGTCTCCTGGCAGTCCCGCTCCAGCACCCGCTGCTGGTGCCGGCCCCGCTTGCATCTGCAGATGGCACCAGCAGCGGGTGCGAGTGGCAGCTGCTGCCCCAATCACCCCTCAGGAGCAGGGGGAGGTGGAAAAGCCCTCAGGGGTGATCACAGCCAGCAGCCGCTGCTCGCACCTGCTGATGGCGCTGAGCGATCAGGACCGGCGCCGGGCACTGGCAGTGGGTACGAGTGGCGGCTCTGGCGCTGGCTGTGAGCAGGGCTGGCGCTGGCAGTGGGTGTGAGCTGCAGCTCCAGTGCCAGCAGCGGGTACGAGCAGGGCTGGTGGTGCAAGCACCGGGCCAAACCGTGGCACACAGGAGCAAAGAATTTTCAGTAACCACCAGAGGCTCGCCCTGATGACAGCAACCGGTGCCCGCCTTGGTCTGGCGCCCCCGCTCACCTGTTCTACCATCCTGCTGCAGCCGACGTCCACCACGTTCCCCGCACGCCCCCAGTGGCCAGCGCACGTGATAGTGACCAGTTGTTCGGTTGTTCCGGTTGTTCCACCATTCAGTCTATTTGCATGTTAGCCTTTAATTATATAGGATAAGTACTGCTTCAGAAGAAAAATTGGTAGAAAATTATTTGAAGGAATGGT